AGGCCCACCTCATCTTGCTAAAGACCCTGTCTCAAAATAAAAAATAAAAAAGGTTGGGGATGTAGCTCAATGGTACAGTGCCTCTGGGTCAATCAAATCCCTAGTACTCCCTACCTCCAAAAAGAAGAGGGAAAACTAGAGTCAGCACTCTGTAGCTTTAGGTTTCAAACCCATGGATTCAATTAACCGTGGATTGAAAATATTGGGGGGACAAACTGCATCTATACTGAACAGTACGTACTTTGGTTGTTGTCCTTATCTCCTAAGTGATATAGTGTAACTGTTTGTATAGTATTTTATTTACATTGTATCAAGTATTATAAGTAATCAAGAGATGATTAGAGATAATCTAGATGATTTAAATGTGTAAAGGATGTATATAGATTATATTGAAACATTATAGTATTTTATATAAGGGATCTGAGAATCTGAGGACATGGGTATCCCCCATGGGTGGGTGGTGTCTTGGGATCAATCCCCTGCAAAAGATGAGGCGTGGAGGAGGGCTGTAGGGCAGGCAGTGTGTGGCACCAGGGATTCCGAAAGCTTGAGGGAGGCAGAAGAGCTGAATTCTTACCACTTCTTTATCTGGTGTTTGGGGTGAACTTTTCCTCAGCCTTCAAAACTGATTTCAGAGTTTCCTTTCTAGAAAGCTCTCCTGACATCAGGCACTCCCTCCTCTGATCCTCCCCTTGCCTGAACATCTACCCTGCAATGCCTCCCTGCACCTGTTTCTAGAAGGCAGTGAGCCTTGAAGGTGACAGAGTACCCTTGAAGAATTTTGAGCAGAGAAGTAAATGCAATCATATTTGCATTTTGCAAAGTATATTTATAAATGTAAGTGGTTTGGAGAATGGATTAAAGTGGGATGGGACCCAGAAGCACAAAGACCAGTGAGAAGGCTTCGGTAACAATGACGTTTAGAGTAGCTGGCAGTTGAGAAGGAGTCAGCGATATGAGAGCTGTTTATGAGATAGAAGCTGTAGCATGTAGGGAGTCAGTAAATGTGGGGTTAATGAGAAAAAGCAGAGGATTTAAATCAATGATAGGTTTTTTTGTTAGAGGACTTTAGTAAATGGTGGTATCATTCACAGAAATAGGGATGTAAATAGAGGACATTTGGGGACTAAGATAACGTTTCATTTTGGACCTGTTGGACCATCCAAATAGAATAGGAGAGCTGGAGTTAAGATCTGGGAGCTGATCAGGAGGTTCTTAAAGCTGGGTATGTAGCTCAGTAGTAGAGTGCTTGCTTAGCATGTGAAAGGTCCTGGATTGGATCCCCAGCACCATCCCCCATTTTTTAAAAAATTATAGGTAAATCCTTTTTTATTATTTTACTAGTAAACAGATCAAGGCACACAATTTAGAACTCTTTCGTTGGAGGGGACCTAAAGAAGAAGGATCAAGAAAATTTCATGATGTATACAATTTGGAATATAGGTATTCTTGGTTTTTGTTTTTTGCTTTTGTGGTATTGAAGATTAAATCAAGGGCTTTGCATGTTCTAGGCACATACTCTACCACTGAGCTACAGTCTCAGGCTTTTCATTTTATTTTTAGATAGTGCCTTGCTAAGTTGACCAGGCTGGCCTTGAACTTGAGATCCTTCTGTTTCACTCTCTATCAAGCAGCTGGGATTGTAGGCATGTGCTACCATGCTCCCTGACATTCTTGTCTTTGAGAAAATGGTTTACACTTAAAGTTCCAAGACACTTAATACGTTTTAAACAATTTTCATTTTATTTTTTCCAAATTAAAATAGGACATTTGTATGATTAAAGGCATAAAATGTACAACTCAATGATTTTTTTTTTTAAAGAGAGAGAGAATTTTTTTTTAATATTTATTTATTTCTTTAGTTCTCGGTGGACACAACATCTTTGTTGGTATGTGGCGCTGAGGATCGAACCCGGGCTGCACGCATGCCAGGCGAGCGCGCTACCACTTGAGCCACATCCCCAGCCCGATAATGATTTTTTAGAAAATTATGTGCATATTGTTGTAACTACAGCTCAGATCCAGATGTAGATCATCTCTGGCTCTTTCTAAGTCTCTCTCTATAACATTGTCACCTCTTCCCTCTTTCTCATCTAGAGGTTTTACTTTATTTTTATTTTTTTATTTTTGTGGTGCTGGGGATTGAACACAGGTTTGTCACATGCTTGGCAAGTGCTCTATGCCCTGATCTACAGCCCCAGGTCCAAGTTCTTAGAACTCTGTAAATTTAGGATGGGAGAATGAATCTTTTCTCTCCTTGGCAAAGCCCTGTGGGCTATAGAATCAGGAAGTCCATGAGAAAGAAAGAAAAGTCAAGTGAATTTCACCGTATATGCAGTGTATATCTTTTGTTATTCTTGCTTCTCCTTCTGCTGTTTTCTCTTTTTATTGGAAATAAAATAAACTTCTCATTTTTCTGTTCTTTTTGAGAAATAGCTTCTCTTACCAATATTTCACCTCCTCTCATTTCTGAGACATGATGAACTGTGGAGAGGATAGTATTCCTGGAAAGCTATTTTTTTTGTTTGGATGTCATCATGGTGTGTATCTGTGGTGCTCTTGTCTGTCTTCTAGATCATTCGGTCTTGTGAAAAATGGACTGTTTTGCTGGTGTGATGATGCAGGCCTGTAATCCCAGCCCCAGCAACTTCGTGAGGCCCTGTCTCAAAGTTAAAAATTTGAAAGGGCCAAGGGTATATAGCTCAGTGGTAAAGTGCCTCTGTATTCAATTTCCAGTACCAAAAAAAAAAGAAAAGAAATGGACTTTATTTTTCTTAGTGGGGAATAGTCCATCTATATCCTTGAATACATCTATTTGATTTTTAACATTACACCTTTTGGGGGAGTTTTCATAGGGCTGTTAAACCTATTTGTAGAGGTGACTTTATTTCTGTCACTTATCTTTCTTTATAGACCAGTAAATTTCTGGAATAGTAAAATGGTTCTCTTTTCTTTGAAAATTTATGTAAGCCATATACATATATCTGTATATACCATCTATATCACATATATCTATATACAGTTATGAAGAAAACAACACCTATTGTAGAGACCAACAGATAGAACGTAACTATACCTCAGAACTCTCCATGTACTCCTCCCTGAGTGAATTTCCTCCCTCATCATATCCCCTCCCACCGTAAGTCAGTTACTACCTAAATGTTGTATTAAACTTTTCCATTTTCCATTTTTATGGGTTTTTTTATGGCCATCTACACATAGATTTGTCTCCACACACACACTGAGTGTCCCTTGTCTTAATTCCTGGAATTGGAAGTGTTTCCAGTTTGAGAGTTTGAGATTTTGAAATATTTGCATAGACTTCACAGATTGAACCATCCCTAATCTGAAAATCTGAAATTGAAATGCTCTGATTGGATTTCCAAATTAGGGGTGCTTATGCTGTATGCGATTTAAAATGTATATATTTGAGCTCTATATTAATGAAATTATATTGTACTTGTAGAGTCAGCCTTCTCCCTTCTGTGAGTTCCACATCCATGGATAGATTCACTCAACCATAGATAGAAATATTCAGAAAAAAAGAAAAAAAAAACTACAGCTGGCTCTGTGGCTCAGTGGATAGCATATTGGACTTCTACCTATACCTACAATGGCCATTCAGGGGGAAAAAAAATTACACCTATACCAAGCATGTTCAGACTTTTTTCCTTGTTATCATTCCTTAAATAACACAGTGTAAGAACTTTTTACATAGCATTTACATTATATAAGATATTATAGAAAATCTAGAGGTGAGTTAAAGTACACAGAGGATGCACATGGGTTATATGCATGTGTTGTTTCTTTTATATAAAGGACTTGAGTGTCAGTGAATTTTGATACCCATAGGGAAGGAAGTTGTCCTTAAACCAGTCCTCTGTGATACCAAGGGATAACTTTGTTGTTGTTGTTGTGCTGTTTTGTTTTGACAGTGTTGGGCTTCACACATACCAGGTAAGTGTTCTACCACTGAGCCACATCCCCAGCCTGGGATGACTATTCTTTTGTGTCTTGTTTCTTTCACTCAGTGTTAACTTTTTGTAACTCATCCAGGTTGAAGCATGTAGCTGTAGTTCATTCATTTTTCACGTAGCATAGCATTCTGTTGTCTGAGAGCATCAGAGCCTATTTGTCTATTTCACTGTTGATGGATAGTTCTGTATTTTTTTCTGTTAAAATAATACTGCTATAAATATATTTGCATGTGTGCAAAAGCATCTTTAGAGTAGATAGCTAGAAATACAGTTAGAAATTTGTATAGTAAGGCTATGGTTGTAGCTCAGTGGTAAAACGCTTGTCCAACACATGTGAGGCACTGGGTTTGATCCTCAGCATCACATAAAAATAAATAAATAAAATGAATGTATTGTGTCAATCTACAACTTAAAAAAAAAAAAGCCTTGAAAAAATAGGAAGAAATTTGTATAGTAAGTACATGTTGCTATGTAGCAGGGAATGGCAAAAACTGTTTTCAAAGTAATTGTACCAATTTTTCCCTCCTGTTGGGAGTGGGTGAAAGCTACTGTTGCTTGGCCAGTGCTTGCTATTGCTAGACTTTTTCATTCTAGCCAACCTGGTGGTTGCAAAATGATCTCTCTTTGTGATTTCAGTTTGCATTTTCCTGACTGACATGAGATTAAGCGTCTTTTCATATGCATAAGTCTCAGTGGAACTCTTATTTAGTTATTTTGCAGACTTTTTGAGTAGGTTGTTTTTCTCATTGATTCATAGTCTTTCTTTTACATTCCAGATGCAAATCCTTTGTTACATGAGGTGCAAATCAACATGATTCCTTTTTCATTCAGCAAATCTAGTCACCCAAGGAGAAGTACCTTAAGCAAATCTGGAGAGTGAAGAAGAATGAAAACCACAGGCCCTAAGCTTCTGGCCAAGCTACTGCAGTGTCATGGCCCTGTGCACAGGCAGAGCCTGGCACTTTGGAGTGAGTTGCATATTACTTAGTGGGTGCATCTAACCTATGGTTCTTGCCTTTGCAGGTGGAACAGGAGGATTTTGTAATGGAAGGGCATGGCAAGACTCCACCTCCTGGTGAAGAAAGCAAACAGTGAGTCACTGTTTATTTAAAAAGGGTTCTGTCACAGATCCTTGGAAACACTTTGGTTCAACAAGCTGAGAGTATATTTGCTGGGATGTATACATTGGAGATATTGTGGAACTCACCAGTTGCTTTGGTGCTCTTAATGCATTTCTTCTATTTATAGACTGACTAACTGGAGGGACAAGAAAGTTGGCTTTGTAATTTTTCACACTTGACTAATCAAAATTTATATTATGCCTTTGCAAAGTCTTTAAGGCTCAGGATGTTCCAAATTGAACTAATTCATTTTGGTTGTTTTCCAAAGAAAGTGTAAAATAGTACATCCTTTTCTTAGCAATGTCTTTATGAAGTGAACTAAACAGACTGCGCCTACATTCCAAGTTTGAATTTATTTCAATAGTACTTCCTGAAATTCTATTCCATTTGGTTATTTACACTTCTGATCATTGTTTAAATACAAATTGTTTCCCTAAAGGAACAGGAATTATAATTAACATAATTTAGCCAACATTTTAAACAATACAGGATCTCTCCTTGGACTTTTTCAAGGGTGATTGGTTTTAAACCTGAAATTTGGAGTCTGCTGCATAGCTTTTTGGTGAAAAAAATTGAGTAGTTGATTTTTTTTCTCCCTCTGTCACAGAATTTGAAAAATTGTATTGTAGAGTAGACCAGTTTTTCATATGCCCTTTTAAAGGAAAAAAACTTCAGACTGGCTTAAAGTACTAACAGAACTACTATTTTTTTCTTGAGACTTGTAGTCTCCTAATGAGATGGTGATTCATGGAATTTATTGAAAAATCTGTGGAAACCCCTCTTCTTCATTTTTTCTTCCTAGAAAAGTCGTTTAATTTTGGTCTGTCTTAAGAAAATTATGTCTCCGAAACCCTTAGGAATGAATTATACAGAAGAGATTATGCTGCCACGAGGCCAGAGTCATTAAAGGAAAATGGTTTGTCTTGTATTTGTTGTGAATGGAAACCAGGATATTTTCACAGCCAGTTTACTTTGCTAACCTAGCAGTTTTAAAAATAGCCCACAGTATAAATTCTAACTTTGCTGTATTCTGTCAAATGCACTTACATCCGCATGAACTGATGGAATCAATTCATCTTCAGCAAATTAGAATGCCAGACATGAAATCCCAATGGAATGACAGGAGAATCACTTTTAAGTGCTTTTCTTCCTGCCTCACATCCACTCCCCGACCTCACACTCCAGTCAAAGGTCTTGTGATATAGAAATCATAGCTCCATGGTTCAGGGGCTTTCAGTGCATGAGTTCTTGGTTAGATGTCTTTTTGATCTGTCATTTCCACTCATTGTAGCATGTTGTCTCCATTTTACTCAGAAATCAGGGTAGGTAACTTGTTTACCATAATAATTCAACTTACAGTGGAACTTAGGATTTGAACCCAGATCCTTCTAGCTTTAGAGTTTTTTTCCTTTATTGGCCTGGTTTTTTGCAGTGCTGGGGATTGAA